AAAAAAAAAAAAAAAAATTTTTAATTCTTTTTACAACGATTTTTAATAAAAAAAAATAAAATTTTTTTTTAGACGAAATCGCTGCTAGGGCAGCGATTTTGCCCTTTTGGCTAAAATAAAAAGTGATGTGCCCTTTTGAAATTTTTGACCATTTTTTTTGCCCTTTAGGCTCCGGACTCCTCATATGCTTTCCTCTCCTTTAGTTTTCTCTAACTTCTTTTTCTATCTCTACTCTTTCTCTCCATAAATTAAGGGAAACTTATTTATCAATATGGTCGAGAGTCGAAATATACATAATCTATACACTAATATGGTAGCGCATACCTGCCATGCACTTCACACACATCACGAGTTACGCTCTTGCTACTAGTCCAAAGCCTTGGAGGCCGGAAAAAAAAGAGAAGATAGCAGACTTGTTTAATCATGAATTCGAGGAAAAAAGTGAACTTTTATTTACAAGGAACTGTGTTTTTTCCTTACATTAGATGTTCCTTACAAAGGAACCTCCTCTTCCACTTTCCCCATATATTACATGATGAATAGGAGATGTTAATGAGAATTAAATAACATCTCCAACTGTACATTTTGTGACATAATGAAAGAATAATTAACTCAAACAAAATTTGCATCTTTTCTTGCCGCTCCATCAAACAGAAAAATGTGATGTGTATTTCTTGATGGAATAATTTCTACGAGTGGAAAATAATTACAATTCGTCACCTGATCTGAGTTCTACCAAACGAAGATGCACCAATTTCAGTCTCGGTGTTCTGCACATGTAACATTATACACATGTAAGATGAATGTACCCAAGAAGCAACTAACAATTATCGTCCTTTAAACGTAAGGCTTACCTTTGACTTGGGAGAAGGGAAAACATTCCAGAATCGAAGTGTTTCATCTCCTGCTCCAGTGACAATTGTCTGCAGATATGATAATGGCAGTTAGAGAATTACAAGTACAAGGAAAATAAAGCTGCTGCTTGCACTTAAAAGAGTAAAATAACGAATAGACAATGAACAATTTCTGCTCGTATACCTGTCCATCTGGAGATATAGCAAGATATAAGACTCTATATGTATGACCTGTCAGAGTAGCTATCTGCATTAACAGCAACAGAATTTGTGAGCAAGCTAGTAAAAGAACAATATTTCAAAAAAAAATGAATTGTCTATCCCTATAATTTTACAGCTAAGCCAGCAGAATGCAGTCTACCACAATAGTTTGATGTACCTTAGACATTGTCGGATATCTCCAAACTATTATCTGGTTTTGAGAGTAACCATGTGTGCTGACTAATTCATTGACATTCTTCGACCACACAAGATTGCAGACCTGCCACGGGATCAACAGAGTTTGTATATCAGAAAGATTTTCAGTTGCAAATATGAAGAGTCAAAACTGCCTAGAGAGACAACAAGGGGAGGGAAGACAGTTGAGAGAGCCTTCTAATCTACCTCCTTAATTGCAAATACAAGTATTTTTGCACAATCATGTAAGTTCTCTAGTTGACAGTCATTCTTTCTCTCGCTGTCTTACTCCCTACCCCTAACTCGTACACATACATCTTCAAAGAAATTAGGTTTTCTCCTCTTACAGCCACTTCTCCAATATATTGGTGGACTGGCATTTCTGAGAGTAACAAGAGAGCAGAAATATGGAGTACAACACCCCTGGTGCCTATGATGCGCCTTTCCTCACCTAAAGCCACTTTTTATGATGCTTAAATTTTGAAAGGGCAGAAGTTATGTTTGCATGCTTTTTCCTCTCCATGTAATTGATGTTAACTTGATTGATTACTCAATCCTCAAGTTTTGATCTGAAAAGAGATGGTTACCTGCTCTACCAGTCTCCTTTTCTCCCCTCTGTTTTTCTATTCTTAACATCTTCCTTTAATAAGTTTAATTGTTCTCCTTAAGATAGAAAGTATCTAGATTTTGATAACGAAGATACAAAGTATCTATTCTGGTCAATTCAGCACATAAAGAAAAGGGAAGACCTTCACTAATTTAGCTAATGGTCCCTTTGCATTGATTCTGTTCTTCAAATGAGATGCATAAGTCTCCAGCTATTACCAAGTTGAATGAAGAATAGGGCAGGAAGACTCAACAGCAAGATTGTTTTTTCTAAGAATGTAATTAGGTAGCTAAGTACTGGCTATTAGGAATACTATCAAGACTATAATATGGTAAGATCTAATTGAATGAGCTAGAATGAACAGAGGGGAAGAAAATTGAAAAAGGAATTGGATGCTATAACAGGGGAATACCTGACTGCCAGTGTCCATGCAACTGAGATGTGTGTTAGTGGTGGTGTTCCAGAATCTAATGCATCGATCAGCTGTGCCTCCACCGGAAGCTAGAAGCCCATGGAGATGGGGGGACCATGCAATGGCCTTGACCGCAGCAGTATGCTCACAGTATTTCAGCACAGGTTGTGTTGAATGGTTGTTCCATACAAAAAGCTGGACATCAAAATTTACTTTAGGTCACCTAAAATGCAAATAATTAACCACAAAGCAACGTGAGAAACTTAAGTTGCAGAAATTAACCACATACCCGATTATCATTTCCACCTGAAGCTAATTCACGGTTATCATAAGACCATTTGAGCCCACAAACCTGCAGATAGGTAGTTTCTACTAAGAAGCAGCAAAGGGGGAAAAAGGAAGTCTGATGAAAAGAAAATGTTTTAACCAAGCGGAAGAAAGAAGGAAGTCTCACCTCTGATTTATGACCACTCAGCTTACTGACAAAATCTTCTTGAGCACGTATATCACGCTGAAGAATACTCTTGTCTCGGCTTCCTGAAGACAGCATGGATGAGCTCCACGCAAGTGCGCCAACTCGTAATCGATGACCCTCCATGGTTCTTATCCTCTTACAACGCGAGGAATCCCATAACTACATGGAAGGATGTTCAAATAAGTTAAAATCTATTACTAAAATGTCCTATCATCTTCAACTAATCTATGGTTTGTTAACTTAATTGATTTTTAACTCAATTCTTGTGCATGCATTTTAGAGAACTTGAGTTCCAAGCAATGATTTGTAGAATTAGAGATCCAATTTATGAAGTGGAAAAAGAATTCACATGACCAACTTTAACTAGTTAACGACTGTGGCATGGTAGCTCTTGTTGTTAGAGATCCAAATTTTCAGATTTAGGAAGCTCTAATATGAAAAACCAAAAAAGACAAGGAAATGGAACCACCATAGTATGTCTGGTACTACACATATGCTGGCATAC